ATAAAAAAATTCTTAATTACAAATTAAAGCTTTCAAATTACATTTCTAACATTTCTATGAAATCAAACCATAGTTAAGAATTCTGGACTATTCCATTGGCTATAAACATCAATAGAGGAATAAAGACTATAAAGTCAGGACACTGAAGAGATTTAAAATCAAAAAAAAGAGAAAAACCACATAAATACTGTTATATTGGGAGATGAAAATTTTACATTGTATAAATTCTGTGAAAATGGAGAGATGAAGGGCTACTATACCAGAAAAGAGAAAAATATTGACATAGTTGAAAAGAAAATCCTAATACTGGCAATTAAAGAAACTGTGGTATGATGCAGTAGTTATTTTCTTCTATTCTGAGGTTAATGGGATTTGTCAACCTTTGAAGATATTATTGCCAGGCTGACTATAACTACATTCTGAGAATATTTGTTTTAAAATTAATCTTCCACAACAGTATTGTTAACTTAAAGGAATTAAAGCAAAGTGTATCGATGAGCTTTGCCTGGGGCGTTTCTATGCAGCATACTCCAGGCGTGCGCAGAGATACCAAGAGCTACCACTGACTGGTCGGGCTCAGGTCCTGAGAGCAATGTTAGCTACGTTAATGAAGCAATCCACTTGAGCGAAGTATCTTCTTGTTCTCTCTTCTTTTACAACTAAACCTAATGCTCTTGAACCAGGGGTCTCCTTTTTCTGCATCAATATAGCAGGTAGCACGGCTTATCTTAGTAAACACCTACGGCTCCTGTAGCATTATAGTAATAAAATAAACACCATCACTCTCAAAGCAAAGAGCAGCAAGGTGACTGTCAGCAAGCATCTGTCAGATGTAAAGAACCTAAAGACATGCATTTCAACTGAATGTTTTTTCTTCTAAAGAGTGGAATATTTCATTGGAGTGGTGATCCATTCCAATCATGACTTCATTGGGGAACTAAAAGAATTATTAAGGAGGATGTTTAATACAGTAGAAAGTGAAAGCATGAAAGATGACCGTTTAATACTTTGAATAATAGCCTATTGAATGTACTGAAGGCATTGAAAGTCCTTAGAAATGGTCTAATCAAAAAGTAAAAGAGAATGTCCAGTATGTAGTGCTTACTTAGAAAATATTATTTTTTTTTCCTGTTACAGTACCTCTTAAGTGAGATGCAGTCCCTCTGATGCTACTAAATGAAATAGTAAACTTTGTCGTCAAGATCATCTATTTAAATAAAGAAAACGAAGAGTGGAAGAAAGAATATAGCAGAGATCGGTGAAGCAGCTTACTGCTACTTAAACAAAAAGATCGAGATCAGAGTATTTTGAGTGGATTTAACTCGTTATTATCTAGTTAAATCACAGAATTACACAGAATGGTTGAGGTTGGAAGGGACCCCTCAAAGTCATTTAGTCCAAACCCCCTGCTCAAGCAGGGTCATCCAGAGCTGGTTGCTCAGGACCATGTCCAGATAGTTTTTGAATGTCTCAAGATGCAGATTCAGCATCTTGGCAACCTGTGCCAGTGTTTAGTCACCCTTAGAAAAAGAGTATCTCTTGATGCTCAGACAGAGCAGCTTCTAGTATGTGTCCATTGCCCAAGTCTACTGATCCAGCTTGGGGCAATTCCTCTGTGATATTATCAGCTACCACTGTAGTTGGTAGGCTTTTAGTTTTAGACCAAAGAAATACTTTTAAGTTCAAAATGGAAAAAATTAAGATCTTGAAACTGATGACTGAAGATAGCTATTTTAGACAAATGATTCTTTAAAGTGATGAACAACTCATGAGGTCTTCAATTCCCATTCATGTAAATGGGACCTCAAATGTGTATTTGATACAAGCCACAGTGCATAGTAGAGGATTTTGGGGGTGTGATTTTACATTGTAAACCCAACCCTGAAGTTCTTCGAAAGTCAAAACATAAAGGTCTTTTTTTTTTTTCCCCCCCCATCCCACCATCTAGAGCTCCTTTTTTAATATATATTTTGCAAATCCTGACCTATGGCTTAAGGGTATGTTGGCATTACTGAAGATAGCTCTAAAGAGAACTCAAGAAGCATAGGACCTCTCAGGGTTAAGAAGAAAAGCACCTTATGGAGAGATTAGTCAGGTAACTAGGGGCAAGTCCAAACACTGGATCTGCATGAGCTAACTTGACTCTGGAAAGAACGCGGCCACAATTTGGGAGTACTGCATGTAAACCAGACAGCTCTGCTGAGAAGTCTTGCGCTGTACGAGTCAGATCATACTGACTGCCAAGGTAACCTTTGGCCTTGGGGGTTCAAGCTATCTGAAATCCAAGCTTGCTTTTGATGCAGCACAGCTGTGTGTCCTTGGCTCAAGTTGCTAAGTTGTGAGGAAGAAGCTGTGAGAAAGTACTTAAGCTAGAGCCATGCGAGATAAGAAAAGTAAAAATGCAAACAGGGGGGGAGATTTTTGAGATAGTGACACGAACAACTATAAAACCAAAGAGGAAAAACTGGGAATCTGAAGATGGAAACTCAGCAAAATCATCCACTAAGCAGTGGAGACCAACCCTTCCTGAGCTGGCAGATGACGGCCTGCCCAACAAAGACTCACAGGGTGTCTCAAGAGACTGGTGACTATGTTAATACTTACCCTAGTAACATTACTCCCAGCTATGTGTTGTGTGCATTGCCCAAAATAATTGCTTCATACTTTTAAGTTGCATACATTCTGCTTACAGAAGATCTTTGCACGTGGGAAATGTTGCCCAAAGTGACCTAAAGGGAGTTGTTATACCAATGCCTGCTCCGCGAGCATTTGCTGCCCGAGGTTGGCACTGCCACATGTTGCACAGTGTAGACATGCCCCTGCTCTCACCATGTGCCAGTCAATTTATTACCGTATAGCATCGTCAGTATACATCCAGGCATAAATGGCAAAAATCTGTCTCTCTAAAGTAACGAATTGGCTAGAGAGGCATGTGAACAAATAAACCCTGGTTCTGCCTCCTGGTTTTCGTTTATTAAAATTTTGTCTAAGAGTTGAAAAATTATCCCCTTTCTATAAGGAAAGTTTTATATATGCATGTATGTATTCTGTGATTGCTGTTGAAGAATGAAGTACCTAGGACCCTAAATACTTCAAACAGAGGAAAATGGATGTGCAAGGCATCAGTCTACTAACTCACATATAAAAATACCATGACAAGCTGGAAAATTTAGGCATCCTCAGATTTTTGCTTCCACGAAAAAACTAAATCCTTTCTAACGACATAGAATATACTTCTGGTCCTCTGCTGCAGTACGATTCAAATAAAGAATTATTGTATGTTTTCTACAGCTATCTAATTCATATAACAGACCTTTTTTTACTCAGACTTGTAGAAAAGAAATTCTTCATCATAGCTTACCATTACAGACACTCTGAACTGAAACTGTTGAAGATATTTGCAGTGGAGGGGGAATTTTCTTCCTTTTAATTTTCTAATTAGCTTCAGCTGATTTTCAAGTTACAGTCACATAGTACCTGAAGTGTCCTACTACATCCACCATACATCACTTTCTGTGTGTTTCCTTGGAAAGCCTTTTCGGTGTGATTCAATCTTGCTTAATACTGATCATCTACACGAAACACCCAGGAATTCCTACCAAAACAGAGACTCACATGCTAGCATACAGCGTGTAATCAACATGTGACTTTTTAGGCCACTAAAATGCATTTAGTATTTATGTGAGGTAAATTTGGTATGACACAATAAGGATAAAAAAATCAGTGTGTTATTCTCTCTCTGTTATCTGCTTTTGACATAGACCTTACTACAAGCGAAGAAGTTAAGAGTAACAGCATTTTGCAGCTGTATTCATGTACTTTTAACTAAAAACCAGCCTTAGTCATTCTGCAGTTGCACTCTTTCAAAGTCTGCTGGTACAGTATATGAAAATTTGTTATTATACACAAAGCATTCCAGTAACTGAGCATAACATACACTAGATCCCACTGCATTGATACCAAATTGCTAGTTAGTATAATTTAACTAAATGTACATTCTTAAGTGTTCTGTATGGAGCACTTCTTACTTAAATGACAGACAAGCCAAGGAAAACAATAAACACACTATGCTGAATTTTGTCTCTAAATTCTTATCAAACCTTTGTAAATAGCAATTAATAAAGCTTAGAAATGAGAATATATGCGCTGTAAATGCAAATATCACCATATCTATTTTAGAAAATGCCTTAGAAACCTTTGTTTTCAATAGAGATTTCCTCAAGTAGGATATCTTTTGCACTTACTCTCTTTCCTTCTGTAGGATTTTCTGCATCTCAGCCAAATGCAAATGCAAGACTGAAACATGTATTAAATCATTCTCTGTTGTCTTAGCTGTAGTGTCCAAACTTTTTTTAGGTTCCTCCAAATAGATGCTGGGAACGCCATTGGGAAAGAAATCCAGAGGCTTTGGAGTGATTTTTTTATTGTGATTGCTTCGGTCTTTGATTACCTCTACATCCTGAGAAAACAAAAATATGACATCCAAGAAAAACGTAAATGAAGGGAAAAGTCTAATATAGATTCCATAGGGCCTACCAAGGCTCTTGTAGACATTTAAATCACGTAGGAGGAAAAAAGGGAATAAGTAACATCTTATACAGTTGCCCTGTGTACAGATAGAATGTGTGAAAAAAATCTTTGTAGTTGGATATCTGTCACTTTGTGATATCTCACACCTTCCGTTATGACAAGCTTCATATCCAAAATATTTATAATGTATCTTTACTGAAGACATAGATTCCAATTATCATTACTTGGCTATAATTACGGTGAAGACAGAATCCCGGAACTAACAAAGCCAGGAATGTAATTTATGCATTTGAATAATATATTGAGAAACTCTACATTAAGAACTTTTAAACTTCTAGTGTAAATCATGTTGAAGCAGGTGATGGACTTATACAAGTTTTGTATAGGGAACAAAGTTACCTGCATAACATACAAATTTGGATCCCATTCAGAAACTAAAAGCACTATAATATCTATTTTGAAGATACATGTTTTGCATACAAAACATAAACAAAACTAATAAGAATTAGAAAAAAAATTAAAAGAAAGTACATATTTATTAGGAAGACTGAACATCTCTTATAAACAGTAGTTTCCTTTAGAAATGTATTTAAGTTTTATCACTTCTGACAAATTGTGTTTAAAAGCTAATCTCATTTTAGCAGGTTACCAGCAGTCCTATTTCGTACCAGTCTGTTCTTTTGAGGTTTTTAGAAGAATGCCTGAAATATACATCTGAAAATACTAGAAGCTGCTGAAAATATAAGACTGTTTTCCATTCACATATGAAGTTTCCGTTTTCAAGTAGTGCATTATTTTATATGAAGGAGAAAGAAACAGTTAAAATATATTTTGTGTCATTTCCTTCCTACGGACAATTTGTCTGCACAAAAATATGAAAGGCATACATTTTTTGGCCAAATTTATTTTCAATACTAACACTATGGTGTTTTTTTTTTTTCAGAAGTCACAGCAATATAATGTAATTTATGTGCATTACAGAGCGAGTGAAAATTCTGAACTAATACATTCAGGCCTAAGATCCTCACAATTTCCGTTGAGCTGAAGTGAAAAATTTCCTACGTCCTACAATGCAGGAAAAAACATTTTCCTACATCTACAATCACTGCTATCTATCAGACAAATAACAAGTATAGTTTTTATATGATGCTGTCTATGAAGACTATATAATTCATGCCAAGGCACAGAATTAAAACTGGTAAAACATGAACAAATAGTTTAATTTTGATTAATCCAACTGGTTCTTTTGTATAGAACTAGGAGCTGTATTAAACAATCAAGTATGGGCATGGTTTAATTTGGCATAACAACTTAATTGCTCTCCTTACCAAACAAAAAATCTTGCAACTTTGCAGAAGACTCTGACTCACCTCTTCCCATATTTTAGAAGTTGCGTTAAGGGAGAATGAAATGATTTTATTTTAGAAGCCAAGAACTTACATTGCTTTTTTTTGGAGGTTAAAAAAAAAATACTAATAAAAAATCCCCCCCAAAAAAACAGTATACGAAACATGGAGGATATGGATAACAGAGGTAATCTGTTACCTTAAAACATGAGAGTCAGAGCAGTAAGTTATTGGACATAACAGTCTGTTACTTAAATGTTTAGCCATAGGTAAAGGGCATGAATTGTTTTCCTTATTTCTTCCTTATTAGGAATATTAGATGGGTGAAAAAATGGTTTTGCTATTGAATGGATCAGGTAGTATTTTGGTCAAAATCCTTGAAAAATCTCATTTCTTGATACACATCTATAATCTCCCGCTTCTTCATGAACTAAAAAAATTCCCTATTCTTTACCTTCTTTGTATCTTCTGCCCCAGGAATCTTGTTGGTTTTTCTCCGTTCTTTCACAGGCTCTTGTACCAAAAATGTTAACTTGTTTAGATCTTTTTTAATATAAGATATTTCTGAGCAACTGAATTCTGTTTTCCAAGCAGTTATATTTTCTAAGTTTTCCTTCTCGCCTACTAAACTTTGATTTATTTTTTTAAGCATACTTAGTTCTTTTACAACACTGTCTAATTTGATTCTCAATTGTCTTGCTTCTTCTCGGGCTTTATTTCTTTCTCCTCTAACCTTGCTCCATTTCTCCCTCCAGTTAGCGGTACAATCTGACCACCAGCGCATGGTCTTCTCCATTTGGGCAGCTCTGGCTTTGACTTCTTCCAGTTCCCGAATTTTTACTGCTTCAAAAATTTCCCAATCACTGCTGTAATTCGTATGCGTATATGGAGAGTGAGATGAATATGGGTAAAAACTTTGAGATGGCAAATTCGAACTACACAGATGGCCACCTGGTTGGTAATTTCCACCTAATTTATAAGGTTGTCTTGGTTGGGTCCCAAAAACCTGCGTCTCTTCCATTAGTTTCTGAACGGAGCCTAAATTCATGTTTTGATTCATCATTTAATGTCACTCCTAAAAAAGACAAAGATAGACAATAATTTAGCTTCCCTCAATTAAATTACATGAAAAACTGCAAACAGCAGCTTATTTTATTGTTGTAATAATGAGATAATCTTAACAATGCTGTTGATGTTTTAGAAATGTGCTTCATCAACAAGAAATAGCTATTAAAATACATTTTACATAATACTTTTTGAGTATAGCATAAACAGACATACCTATTACTTGATTAGGAATTGCTACCAAAGGAAGTGTCATTAAATAATCACAGTGGTCTTGAAAATTTTTGAGCCTAGAGAAAGTGGACAAAAGCTTTCTTCTTTCAAGACAAGACTAAATTGAATCAATATATATTTTAAATGTCTAGTAAAAGGAAAGTGTTTGTCTAGAACTATAATCACAGATTCACTTGCCTCCTTTCCCGAACTATGGAATTTCATACTAGGCAAAACTTACCTTAAAATTTGCATACTTGGGGGGGTGGGGTGCATGAGTCATAAAACCCTGACCTTTGGATTTTCTTTGTTTCATGAGAAAAATCAAGCATTTTTATAGGGGGCTTTATTTTGCTGTCTACATTCCAGAAGCTGTCCAGGAAGTCTGTTCTTATATTATTCTTGAAAGGGTAGCACTACCCTACTGTACTGTATAGCCTGCCTCATGATGATATGACTCTGCTAGTAAATCTTGTTGCGTTCCTTTTCATTATTTATCTGCTATTACTTATTCAGCCCAGAGGAAAATCAATGTCTCAGAAATTGCTTTCCCACCTCAGTGATGAGAAAATGTTGATGTGGACAGTTTATAGAGACTAGTCATTTATACCTCCTTGCTTTTTCCCTTAGTTATCTAAAAAAAAAAACAAACCAAAACAAAAAAAACCAAACCAAAAAACTTGCTGTATCAGTGGAAGACTAAGTTTTTTAAAGTAAAAAAATATTGCTCTTATATTCCAACATCCACCTGTAAAAAATTCATGTTTATATGTTACAGCAATTAGTGTTAATGCTTGTATTTGAAATGTAGGCCAATGCAGGAAACAAAATCCTGAAGAGTAGGTAGTCTTGGTATTGTGATTCAGTCGTGTTTTGTTTCAGCTGATAGAATTTTTTGCAGGTTTTGGTTCCAGTTTCCCACCTGTTTTCAACTTTTTCATGCTTTCCAGAACATTTATTTACCAGTTGTTAGAAGCTTCTGGAGAACTGTTGTACTCAAGTATGGACATGAGAGAAGGAAAAGGATGGTAAGGACTCCCAACTCCCGTCATTATCACTGTCTGGTGTAGCACCACCAACCCCCACAACAACACTACAGAGATATAGCACAGCTGCTGCCAAAGCTTGATCAAGGTTGAGTCTTTTTCTTGTTGCCTGACCTACTTCCAGAAATTTCATTTGAATAAACCTTATCCAAAATACAAAGATATTGCCACCCATGATTTTGTATGAGGCCCAGCAGACCCAAAATAACTAAACATTAAACTCTGGCAGTAAGTTGTTAATGTAACTTTTGCTTTGTGGTAACACCTTTGTTTCCTAAAGCTTTAAATAAAAAAAAAACAAAAAAAAAAAAAAACCAACAAAAAAAAAACCAAACAAAAAAAACCACCCCACAGTAAACTTTAAAATATATGATGCAATAGTTAAACTTTTTGTTTTTTAAACAGCGCAATAATTTTTTCTTACATTTTTTGTTTCTGTCCCAGACTAGTAGATGTCTGCAGAGACATTCATTACTCTGTTCATAATCAGTAGAATTTTTTTTAATGGATTTTGCTAGCAGCTTTGCATGTTCACTGAAAGAAGGCAGAACTTAGCGAATGGACAGTTTTACGAATCTTAGAAGTTGGATAAATAAGAATGAAAATAATTTTCTTTGGCTGAAACTTCAAAAGACCTGAGAAGAGAAGAAAGTCTTCATGAATCAGAAGAGCCTTCCCTGTGGATTCATCACTAGTTTGAGACAATCTAACTGCAAACTACTACCAAAAAGAGCGGTCTCATTCACTGGCCGAATTCTTGGCCCCTTTCCACTGTGCTGGCTCTCGTGGTCTTGAGACTGGGACACTGCCAGTTAGATCAAACTTAAAGCCGTAATATTTGAAGTAGGCTTGTACAGTAGCCTAGTAGGCTCCTAGCCTTCAAATAGTTTTATGATACACTGAACTTTGCCTGCACTTTTAATCATGGATAGACGATCCTAACTCTGCACCTAAAATTCCAAGAAATTAAGAATTAAAACAAATTCTTCCTCCTCCAGAAGACAGTAGTGCTGACTCAGTCCAGGAGATGCTTGTATGTGTATTAACTTCCCTATGTGCTTTTCACAAAATTTAATCAAAATAGCTTCTTAGAAATCCCCTGGAAGATTGTAAGAAGTAGAATGATATCCTACCATTTCTTCTTAAAAGACACAGATCTCAACACAATCCATTTTAGTGGCTGGCTGACCCAGGATAAAAACATAAAATAATACAAATATTTGTTGCATAAGTGAAAAGATACTATAAATGCTGCTAGTTTTACAGTTATTTCTCCCACGTGACAACCCTTACATTCCTAGTGACCTGTTGTAGTTTAACTCCAGCCGGCAACTCAGCCCCACCCAGCCACACTCTCATTCGCCCCCTCCGCAGCAGGATGGGGAGAGAATCACAAGAGTAAAAGTGAGAAGACTCATGGGTTGAGATAAAGACAGTTTAATAGGACAGAAAAGGAAGAAAATCGTAATAATAGTAATTCATAACAATAATACTGATAATAATAAAAATAAAATAATCAGAATATACAAGTGATGCACAATGCAATTGCTCACCCCTCGCTGACTGATGCCCAGCCAGTTCCTGAGCAGCAGCCCCCGGCCAGTTTTCCCCCCAGTTTGTGTGCTGACCATGATGTCATATGGTATGGGATATCCCTTTGGCCAGTTGAGGTCAGCTGTCCCGGCTGTGTCCCTTCCCAACTTCTTGTGCCCCTCCAGCCTTCTCGCTGGCGGGGCACTGTGAGAAGCTGAAAAGTCCTTGACTTGGTATAAACGCTACTTAGCAACAAGTAAAAACATCCCTCTGTTATCAACATTATTCTCATCCTAAATCCAAAACAGAGCACTGTACCAGCTACTAGGAAGAACATTAACTCTACCCCAGCTGAAACCAGGACGTGACCTCAGATGCAACTTTCAAGCAGTAAATCCTGCACAATTTTGAACTTTGAAATGAATTCTTTACAAAAAATATACTTTGAAATAATATCATAGACCTTTGGATAACTTGGTTTACTGAATTACAGTGTTACAAAGATTTATTATGGATTCAAATGCACTTAAAAAGTATTAATGAGGTTTATATTTTTAGTCCTGGAATTGAGCAGCCATAGTACTTATATTCTCTATGTAGTTCCAGTTCTACAGCACCTTGATAGCGCTTTCCCTCATGAAGACTACTTTAACTTCTGTTCCTTTCTATCCTTAGTGAATTTATCCTTTACAAAGTGTTGTTATTGCTAGGTGTGCAAATGGTTTTCTTTTCAAATAGAAGGACAGCGCTGAAGGGTTCACACCTGAATCCACAATTGTACTGGAAATACAGCTTTGAAATATCTTGGTATTTCACTATGCAGAAAGACAAGCAAACTTCGTCTGGTCAGGTAGACTGTTTTCTCCCTGCTATATGCACAAAAATTTAGTAGTTTTCATTGCTTGCAGCCAGGTTGTCTCACTCTATCCCCTTTGCACGCAATGCAGACAATCAGATATCACCGAAGCACAGAGGAAGTGGTGAAGCCAAACACTCAAAAACAAGAGTGAAAGGTAACTAGAGTCCATGATTCACTGAAGGCTTTTCAGATCTCTACTTCATCCATGGGATTTTTCCATGCAAGTTATCTTATAAGTTTTATCACTTACTAAAAACACAAGAAGTGTACAAAAATGCAATGTTTCTTTGAAGTTTTTTAGATTTTGTTGTTGTGCAGTGAGCAAGGTGCTTACTATAAATACCTTATAATTTAACATTACTTTTAACACACGACAAACCATGAGTATATAGAACATGGTAAGGATCATTCATGACTTACACTGATTTTATTAATTTAATAATAACCTCAAGAAAAATATTAATCACACTACTGGTTTTTCTTTGTTGAATTTCCATTTTATTTTATAGTGAAACATCCACAAACCTTCCTGTATACAGCCCTGGTTTAATGGAAGTAAAAGGGTGTTTTCCCATTGGCATTAACGAAAGTAGGATTTTCTGCTTTGCACAGTTGCTGTACTTTTATGACCAGTGTAACCCAGCATGAATCCACCGCTGCTGAAAAGACAGCCCCTCCTTTCTCACACATGCATCTACATGTTCTTGACTAGTTAGTGTTTCCTTTTAGTAAAATTAGTGAAATAATCAGATTAAACAGATGCAACATTCCCAGCTGGATATTTTTCAGCTTCATCAGATCCTTCATCTATTTCACCAGCGGCTGCATGAAACCTAGTGTGTCCACAAAACACGGCGTGGAAATAGGAGATGGAAGGAAAGCAGGACTGTCCCTTTTAACGGCATCACAAACTGCATTCGATTCATATATATTGAATTTATATTCAATTTAGAAGAATTACATAAGCAATACCCAGGGAGCAACAGTCAAGAGTTTGTGAACAAAAAAAATAATAAAATTGTATACAAAATTATATTTAAAACCCAGTGTTTGACTTTTGTGAGAACATTGTACAAAACTGAAAGAGGAGAATGTATTTCAGTGACGACTAGAGCAGACTTGCCCTCCTATGTAGGAAAGCCTTGGGCAGGAACATCTTTTTGGCTAAAGTGAGTTTTTGCCTACAAACTTCCTGTCTTGGCAAACAACTACGATGTATCCTGCTGATCCATTATGGTAACCCAGCTGCCAGGTTAGTAAGCCTCTAAGACCACGGGTGAGGAAAGCAAATGAACTGCTACACATCATTGTAATGGCATTTCCAAACTTTTTTATACAAAATAT